CACCCACAATGGCGTGCAGAGACCACTCAGCCTTAGCGCTGTCGGCATCTATTTAACATGGTCAGTTTTAATTAGTATATAAATGCAATTCAAATTATTTAGTTAACTTTAATTATGCTACTATTAGTTTGTCAGCACTTACTGGCGGTGTACTCAATATCGATGGTAACCTCCTTTCCCTTGTGGAGAGTGCAGGGACTGGTTGTGCAGCCAGTGATGGCAACGTTGGTTACCTCAGAGTGTCCTAAGGTATAAATATTAAGGTTAGTTATTGTTGTAATAAAATGAACATGTTATAAATAATACCGCAATCCTTGAATGGGATGCCGGCTGAAGCGGCGACGATCAAAACGGCTAAACACACAAACTTCAACATGGTTATTTTTCACTAAAATTATTTCTAATTTTACTTAAAAAATAATATTTCTGAAAGTGATTTGTAAGCAGCAATTGTGGCGATATTTATACTTTAACTTGCTTAATTAGCCAATAATTGCGACACATGTTAAAACAATTGACGAGAGATAAAATTTGTTATTGAATTTTAAGGCACTTGAAGCCGGTTGAAATAATCATTAAGGTGTATTTGGTTTATCAGCAACATTGACTTTCAATTGTATTTTAAACAACCAAGGTGTCTCACTCAAAATATCATCGTATTAGTTTTAATTTAAAATGTCCCTCTTATATTATTTTAGTATTGTTATACTCAATGACCCGGATCAGAATTGGTTAAATTGTATATTATTTGTGGCTAACCCATATGTAAAAATTTACTCAGCTGAGTATTTTAGCATGTGATGTAAAGCTATTTACTAAAGCTATTTTGTTTTTAATTTATCATTAAGATATTAATTGCCACTTACATAGGATTTATAATAAAATTATTTTATCTCAATTAACTGTTCTTAAAAGAATATCAAATGAACCTTGGATATAACCACTTATGATACAATATAAGTGTATAATTGTCTAATGTGTACCATGTTGACTAAAGTATATTTAATTTTAATTTTTGTATAATTGTACTTTTAATCCACGTACCTTACGGGCAACAATAATGCATACCTAGAAATAGACCAACCAGTTCAATTGTACTAGTTTATAAATGTTATCTATGTGATTTATCAACCAACAATATTTTAAGAAATTGTTGCAATGTTCTTCTTTAATACATAAGTATTTTATTTGAGTTTATTTGTGTAGTAAAAATTATTAACAACTTATTTACTAAATTCCAGTATATAATTAATTAATTTAAATAGATAATTTTAAATAAACTAAATTATTTATAAGTTAATTAAATATTTTACAAACAATTTAAGGATGTAAGTAAACTGAGATAATTAAATGTTTATTCATAATAATTTTGATACTATGATGATAGATAACAATAAAATTATTTTAGTCAGCTGGCTTTTTATACAATGTAAAGGATATGCACCAATTGTAGCTAATTAAATGTAAAGTTATAAAATTGATCATTTTGCAAGAAAACATTCTTTATTTATTAATTTTAAAATATTAATAACATTTAAAATCTGTAAACATTAAAATAATTATGTTATAATTTATTCTTCGTGGGGTTATAAACCATAGGTGTCTGTTAATTTATAATTAATTTTTATATAACAATTTTATTTGTTTTACTTACAGTTTTTAAAAATTTCGAAATATTACTACTATGTTTAAATTAAGTAATGTAAGTTATATCACAATACAGTGTATAGTGTTTATAATTACTACTTTATTAGACAATAAGAGTATAATTATTTACAATAATATTGTTATTAATTATGAATTAATAATTACAAATAATAAATAATTTAATTATATTTTAATACCTATGTCTCACATTATTTTGAAACTTTCTCTGTTCAAATAATTTATTTGTTTTATTATAATTAAATCTAAATTTATTGACTAAATATTGTTTAAACATATTATTGCTACTATTATTAGCAACTTTTAACTGCATATTAATAACATAAAACTTTTTACATGCACTAAACATATGGGACACAAAGTGTGGAAACATAACAATTGAAAACCCAAACCATAGGCTTATAATACTGGCCAAAAGGCACAGGTATTCAACAAACGAGAACTTCAATGATATCTCGTAGACAGTAGTGGGCTCTGACGGGAATCTTACATCAACAACAAATTGACCTGGCTTATCATCATTAACTAGCTCATATTCAACAGCGTAATAATCTTGGTTACATTCGATACGGTCGCAACATTCGTGCTCGCATTCCTGTACATACATAGTGCCTACCGAGCCGTTAAAACGTAACCATTTACCACCATGATAATAGTCGTGAAATATTTGATATTCATCTGGTAGGGAGCCATGCTCATGGTAAAACTGCCTAAGTTTACACTCTAGCTCACACTCTTCCCGTGTGGTGTTTCGAAAACACCGGGTGTTGACTATACTGTTGTCCATATACTTGATGGTGGTTTTACGGTACCTGAGATGACATGTGCCTCCGTTGCTAATGTTGAGTGCGATTACTTCTCGCCGATTGTATTCCCGTTTGCGGTCCGCGCGGGAAAACATTTGCAGGTATAGGATATTGTCGGTTATGATAGACTTGTTTCGTACTGCAAATCGCATGAAATACTCGGCATTAGTCCGCCTCTCGTTTACCACATATCTAGAGTTGACACACGTATTTCATAATTATGTAAATATTAAACTGATTTATAATGAATTGCAAACTCATTAATTAATTAAATTTAACAAATCTCAATTAATAATTTTAAAAAACTAATTTAATTAGTTTTATACTTTATAATAAGCTTTTTAACAAACTTTGGAAACTTTACTATGTATAAAACATTATTCGTAACCAGTATTAAAAATTATTTCATATAAAATCCTGGTTACTACTGTATTAGTAAATTATTAATTAATAACGGTTCAATGCTTACTTTTCATTAGGCTGACCATGCCACTGTGAAAATAGCGTAACGCATGCAAATTTGCCAGATAGTGATGGCTCAAATGTGGTCACATTACTACACTGTGCAAATTTGCCTGTTGAGTCCACTATTGTACAATCAAGAACTTGGTCAACCGGCATAATCGATGTCCATTGATCGCGAAATGATTGTTGATTAAATGTTGCCAAATTAATTGTGGTGGTTTTATTTTTAATAACATTTATTTTCTCAACGCATATTATAAGCGCCGGTAGTTTTAGCAACTCTTTCGACTCGAACCGTACATTAGTAGTGGTTTCGTACGTGAAATACAATTCACTTAATTTATACGTTTGGTATAAACAGCCCGTAAGGCATAACAATTGGCAAATTGCATTAAATGCTGTTTTGTTACACAATCTAACCATGATTTTATGTGTTAAAAAACACAAATACAATATTTTTTAATATAACACTTGTAAGAAGTTTAATTAATATAAAATATTTAATATATTACAAGTAATAGTAAATATTTATAAATAAATGACAAATAGTTATTTGTATTGTATAAGTTATACAATACAAATATTTTATCAAATAAAATGTTTAAAAAGTGTTAACCAATAATAACACCATTATTTTTGTTAATAATACTTATGTTTGAGATTAATGTGATTGCTTTAATATAATAATAAGTATGTTAATTATTAAATGCAATTTACAAAATAAATATTTTGAATATTGCATAAGGTATTTATGGATTTTGTAATTATTGTTGTGCAATTGTAATAGAATTTTGCTTTATTTGTATACAGGTTGCTATATTAAATATGCAATAATTTAATATAAACACGAATATCGGATATTTTTATTATTATAAAGAAATTTTTAATGATTTACATAATTATTCAGTACAATAAAGATTTATACATTATGTACTAAAATAAGTGGATATAATATATTATAAATATAACTTTATTTAAAACTTGTTTGCACTTAAATATTGATTTGACAATGGTCGCTAGACCGGTAAATATATACAATAAATTTGGTTAAATATTATATTATAATTAGCATGTAATAAATATTTTTATTTTTATTAAACATAGTAATAATAAACCGATATTATTATCATAATAAGGATATTGTTATAAATAATATGTAAATAGTAATCAATAGTAATTATACGTTTTTTAATATTATAATTATGCAATTTTATGTAATAATTATTATATTTTATTTTAAATATAGTAATTTTGAAATTATTGTAGTTTACAATAAACTAATTATTTAATGTTAATATGTAACAATTCAGTGACTATCATATTATTTTAATACTTTTTGATAAATATAAAATACATTGTTTATAATAATATTATAAAGTTTAATGTTTGATTATATAATATAACATAAGTTAGCACTATGTTTAATAAAAGTTACATAAGTTTGAATTTTGATAACATATTGATATTGTTATAAATTAATGTAAAGAAATTAATGTAAAGAATGAAAGAAATGTAAAGAAATTAATTATAGTCTTTATAACAAAAAACATTTCAAATATATAATTATTTATAGAATTTATACAAACATAATGCCAAAATTATATATTTTATGTCCATTAATTTATTCAACAATTATTCTTATTATTATTTTCAACCCTCTCCCTTTTTTGAAATAATTCTTCTGTTTTGTTATATTTTAAGCCTATTTTATTAGAAATATAATTTTTGAAATTATAGTTATTGTGATTAATAACAGTTAATTGAATATTTTTCGCACAAAACTCTTTACATGTACTAAACAAATGAGATATAAAATGTGTAAACAGTATAATTGAAAACCCAAACCATAGGCTCATAATACTGGCCAAAAGGCACAGGTATTCAACAAACGAGAACTTTAACGATATCTCATAAACAGTAGTGGGCTCTGACGGGAATTGAATATCTATGATAAACTGACCAGGTTTATTATCATTACTCACGTGATATTCAGCAGAGTAATAATCTTGGTGACAATCTAGCTGGTTGCAACATTCATTCTCGCATTTTGACACATATAAGTTGCCTACAGATCCATTAAAATACAACAATTTACCGCGGTAATAATAATCTCTATATATGGCAAATTCTATGGGTAAAGATCCATGATCATGATAATATCGCCTAATTCTACATTCAATCTCACACTCGTCTCGATTTGTATTTTGAAAGCACCGGTTGTTACGCATACTGTCGTACCTCATATACCTGATTGATGTTTTCCGGTACCTGACATGACATGTGCCGCCACTACTAATGTTGAGTTTCGTAACCTCTCGCCTATTGTACACCCGTTTGCGTTGGTCTCTGCCATGCATTTGAATGTATACTATATTGTCGGCAATAATAGACTTGTTTTGGGCTTCAAATCGCATGAAATGCTCAAAATTACTGCGCTTTTCGTTCACCACATATCTGTTGTAGAATTGCCAGATGTATTTTTTAAAAATAAAAAAATTAATTAATTAATTATATTAATATTTAATTATATATCTAGAGTCTTCGTATCCATTAAACTCAAGTTTAATAATTAATAATTCAATTAATAAGTTTAAAATATTATAATTTTATTTTTACAGTTTTACAGCAACATACTTGTTATCAGACTCTCCATTCCACTGTGAAAATAGCGTAACGCACCCAACCAGGCCAGATGTCGAGCGCTGTAATGTGGTCACTCTATCGCACGGTATAAAATTGCCCGTAGAATTCAGGACTTGACAGTTAAACACCCCTTCCACCGGAATTACTGAATCAAGTTGTTTAGAAAATGATTGTTGATGAAATTGATCCAGGGTCATTTGAGAATTTTTAATAACAGTGATTTTATTTATGCATATCGTTAGCGCCGGTAGTTTTAGCAACTCTTTCGACTCAAACCGTACATTAGTAGTGGTTTCGTACGTGAAATACAATTCACTTAATTTATACGTTTGGTATAAACAGCCCGTAAGGCATAGCAATCGGCAAATTGTATTAAACGCCGTTTTATTAAATATTTTAACCATATTTTACGTGTTAAAATCACAAGTTTTTTATGTAACACTTTTAAGATGTTTAATTAATATAAAATATTTAATATATTACAAGTGATAGTAAATATTTATAAACAAATGAAATTTAAGTAATAATTGCTTGTATTGTAAACAATATTGTTGTTTGAAAACGAGGTTTAGTCAATAAATAACTTTTCCTTATATAATAAGTGTTATCATAATGTTTAAGAAATCAATACAATATATTATTTAAATATAGTGAAGTAATTATCGATTTTATAATTAACTTTATGCACGATTTATTAACAAACAAGATTAATATATTATTTTTCAGCTCGTGAGGCATAACAATTGTATTAGGCTACTAATAATATTTATATGTTGTTCAAATTCTTTGAATAATTATACCAATATATTAATACTGTATAATGTTGACTAAAAACTAAAATTTTATGATTAAAAATTATTATAAATGGTAAATGGTATGCATCTATTATAAATAAGATATGGCATAAGTTATAATTGTAATATAGTTATAATGACTAGAAAATCTACATATTTTATGTATTTAGAATATTTTTAACTTGGTTTATTTAAAATAATAATTTTAATGATTTAGTGTAGATTAAATGTTACCAAATATAATGTTAGTATTAGTTAATATACAGTTAAACAATAAATAAAATTATTAATTATTTAAAATTTAATACTATTTTTTAATACTCTTCGCCTGTTGAATAATTTATTAGTTTGAGTATGATTGAAATTAATTTTATTAAATAAGTAAGTTTTAACGTTGTTATTAAAAGTTGTTAACTGTATATACTTAACAAAAAATCTTTTACATGTACTAAACATATGAGATACAAAATATGTGAACATTATGATTGAAAATCCAAACCACAGGCTTATAATACTGGCCAAAAGGCACAGGTATTCAACAAACGAGAACTTTAATGATATTTCATAGATAGTGGTGGGCTCTGACGGGAATTCAATATCAAGTGTAAATTGACCTGTTTTATTATTATTAACTAAATCATGTTCAACAGCGTAAAAATCTTGATAACAATCCAGTTGTCTGCAACATTCATTCTCGCATACAGTCATATATAAGTTACCTATATATCCGTTGTTAAAATACAGTAATTTATCACGATGATAATAATCTTTATATATGCAAAATTGCATAGGTAAAGATCGATGATCATGTGCAAATCGTTTAATTCTACATTCGATTTCACACTCGTCACGAGTTGTATTTTGAAAGCACCGGCTGTTAACCATACTGTTTGTCATATACCTGATTGATGTTTTCCGGTACCTGACATGACATGTGCCGCTACTACTAATATTAAGTGTCATAACCTCTCGCCTATTGTACGCACGTTTGCGTTGGTCTCTGCCGTGTATTTGCATGTATACTAAATTGTCGGCAATAATTGACTTGTTTTTAGCCTCAAATCGCATGAAGTGCTCGATATTACTGCGCTTTTCGTTCACCACATATCTGTAATAATATTATAATTGTTAATTAATATAGTTTATTTTTTATAAACTTGATAAGTAAATTATTGTTTTGTTTCCATCATGTACATTTAGAAAATCATTGCAAATAATGCTATCATATATATCTATGATGTCTATAAAATCTTAAGCATACCGT